AGAAAAGAAAAGAAAAGAAAAGAAAAGAAAAGAAAAGAAAAGAAAAGGAAAGAAAAGAAAAGGAAAGAAAAGAAAACCTGTCAATAGGAAATAAGAAATTAGAAATAAGAAACGAAAAATGACACTGAAGATGGCACAACGCCGAAACCGGTTTGTCTGCAAACCAAACTTGACAAGGGATGACGTAAATTCGTACCAATATAAATCATCTTACCACCCTGTCGGAAAAATCAACCAACACCAACACACAAGTTAAAAGGCGTTTTAAGAATTTTATTATTTATTATTATTTTATTCTATTGTGTTTGTCCGCAGAAGCCTTAGAAGGCAGTAATAAAAATGTGAGGAATGTGCGATTTACAAGACAAGAGAAATGATGAGAGATTTAAGGGCTCATTTCCTATTAATGTCGGATCCGGAACTATCATCACTTAGGTCTACAAAAAAATATATATATAAATTTGAAGAAATTGAGATGTACATTTTAAAAGACAGCATTTTAAATTAAATTTTAAATAAGTTATGTTATTTGTTGAGCCGATTTGGAAACATTTTTATTTGTGATCCTTTTTAAAGAAAATATTAAATTATAAAATTTTTCCATTAACTAAAATTCATAAGGGTGGTAGCCATTTCCTTATACCAAACGAAACAAAATTTGCCACAGAGTTAGAATGTTTAATTTAATAAGTTATTTTAGGTTTTTTGTACATTCTGATCACAAAAATAGCCGAAATCTAGTTTTTGAGAAAAAGGAAATATGGGAGGTAGTCATGTCCTTGCGCCGAATAAAACAGAGCTTAAGGACATAATTCTCCAGAGAGCTACCAATTTTCGCTTTATTCTGCTTATAATTGTAGCTAAAATCAAACTTTTAAACTTAACCCAATTTTTAACACCTTGCTAAAATACAGAAAATTTTAGACTCTCACAAAAAAAAAAAAATTTTAATTATTCTTGAATAACGCCCATTTTCTTAAACCGTTTTTTTTTTATAGAGAATTAAACAAGAATTACGATGGCGTAATTTCAAATCCCTAATTTTTTTACGAAGTCCGTCCGACTTAAAAAATAATGGCTCATATGTAGCACAATAATTGAAAAAAGCGATTTAAGAAAATTTTAGTTTGAAAATACTTTTACAATGGATTTCCTACTTTTTGAAAAGTGAAATTTAGGTAACTTAAACAAAAGTTGTATAAAATAAAAAATATTAGTGTTAGTCTAAAGGGATTCATGAATGCTTTAGCTAGAAAATGTCTTTGATTAGGCTTGCCACCTTTTCGAAAGACCATACCGATCTAACTAAGTATACATATATATTATTTGAGAAGCCATTTCTTGTAAAGGTCATTAGATTTGCACCGTTCATTCGAATTTTAAATATGAGGGGCCAAAGTAAAGACCTTGACCTGTAGATGTGCGAAAAAGTTGTATCTGTATAGGATGATTTGGAAGTTGATGATATGGAAAACCGACACTATGCGAAAACTCTCTTCACTCAGTAATGGCTGCATGGATTTGGATGAAATATGGCATTTGATCGCTTATAACTCTCACTAACATCTGAAATAGTTTTAAGGTTTTACTAGTTATTATTATTATATGTAACGTATGCTTTGTTTCGTTCCCCATATAACATGAATGTACCACAGCAAATCATGGCAGGGTACAGCTAGTTATATATTATTTAATTCATTATGTTAATATAAGCTATATATATGTATATTTGCTTTGCGGAATTCTGTATTTGAAAAATCGGAAAACCTATGGATAAATAAAAGTATTGGCAAAATTTTGCTTTGCGAAATCCTATATGGAAAAATATAGAATTTCGCAATACAGAATATTAAAATACACAATTTTGCTATACACAGTTTTGAATACGGAATGTTTAATACACAATATTGAACCATACAAATTTTGTACCCAACTCGTCCTTTTTTACCACCGTGGCTTAGGTTATCGTCTACAACAAACAAGATCATTGCTAAACTAGGAATGTATTGTGTCTGTATTTTTTTATCGCCTCGATTACCGTACTACTAGTGATTCGACGATCCGTTATGTGACCCTTGTTTATAGAATCTTGCCTTGCAAGTTCATCTACCATGCAGTTTTCTACTATGTCCCTATGACCAGGGATCCAAGGGAGGTGGAGTCTGTTCTGCTTGGCCATCTTCAGTAGAGATAGGCGGCATTCCAGCGCAGGAAGGAGCTCAGAGCTTTGGTTGCAGCCTGGCCATCACTAACAATGAAAACGTCACTTCCCATCAGTTCTGTTCGAAGATTCTCAGCAGCCTTCACTATAGCTGAAACTTCAGCTTGGAATATGCTGCAGCAGTCTGGTAACCTAAAAGAGATTTTCAGAGAAGGGTTTCGTGAGAGAACGCCCCGCCTACCGCCGCGTTTCGAGCCATCTGTATAGATGCCTAGACTATTGGGTGGAGTGTTAATATCTTCCTTCCACTCCTCCCTGCTTGGGATTCTTATGCTAAAATTGCTTTCCGGAACCGACATCGAAGCCCAACGGTCTGTGCTCTTCGGAATAAGCAAAATTCATTTAGTATACAAGAGTGCCCCCGGGCCTCAGATTGCCGTTGGAATGGCTCTCTTAAACGAAGAGCAGGGAGCGCTGCCATCTTCTGTCTTACCAAATCCAGTGGCAGAATATCTAAAATGGTGGTTTTGAGCCCTTCGCTTTTGCAGATTGTACTGAACTTTGCACCTTGGTATCCAATACAGGCCACCATGGGATCGCTCCTTACAGGAGACCGACCTTACAGGAGAATATGTTTAACGACTGCTATAAATATCCATCGACAAAATACCGGGGACTGAGGACCCATCTCTTGCATATGGCCCTTTTACACGTATAAAGGGCTAAATAAACCTTCTCATACCGCTGAACTATATTCTTCTTTCAGTTCAGCTTCTTATCTTGAATAACGACAAGAAATTTGGCTTTTGTAGCAAGACGCCGTTTAGTTCCGGTGGAGTATACGAAGGCATTTTATACTTTTTCGTAAAGAAGACGAGCTCTACTTTGCTTGAACTGACGCTTAGGCCACGGCTGGTGGACCATCTGTATACATTCCGAACCGTTCTCTGCATCTTTCTCTGAAGGAGATTGCAATGTCATCGGCGTATGCAAGAAAATGTGCGCTGAGAATAAATATAATGCAAACCACTTTGTTTCTTACCGCCACAAGTGAGAGAATTTCCAGAGGAAAGAATAATTTTTTTATATATTTCTTTTATTTTCAATTATAACTATCATCCATGCACTGGCCTTGATTGGCATTTGTTAGGGTATTATTTTGGCAAAACGAATACCAAAATCACTGCAGCTTTCATTGACTTCTCCATTAGTCTTCAAGCATCAGGTATCAGTAGTTTTTGAATTGTGCATTTGTATTTCGCATCAACTCGAAAGAAATCAACTGGAAAATTTTCTACACAAACAAAATTATGAACAAACAAATACTGCGAGGAAGCGAACACAGCCACACACTCGCATCTGCGCTCTACCTACCACACTTGCATAAGAATTGCACTACTGTAGCCACCCCCGCCATTTGCGATTTGCGCCATTAACTCCCCCCTACAAAACCTTAAGCATGTGGCAAGTAGCATGTAGCAATATGTGTGGCACACACCTACATTCATACATACTCATACGTACATGCATACATTTCGTTTATGAGCGTGTTTATTCTACGCTCACCATTCTCGCGCTGTTACGTGCCAAGCCAACAAAATATCCCGCTGTCCACATACTTCGTCGCTTCGATTGCAATGGCAACAGCAGCAGTTTGCTAGGCAAGCAACTGAAAGCATTAGGCAGGTGAAAATTATTGTGATTACCATGCATTGCAGGCACCAAGTGGCATGTGGCATGCGGCATGAGGCATGCGGCATGCAGCAAGTAGCGCCAACAGGCAACAGCCAACAAACAGCAAATAGTAAACAGCCGACAGCAGTTGCATGCAAGCATACGCCAACCGCATTTCTCGTTCCTAATTCCGTTTTGCCTGCCGCTTCGCTCCGCTCAATATGCAAGCGTCGTCGAATGCACGCGAATTCATGTGTTTACCTACTCCCTTGCTATTTACTTGCCTGTGCTGTTCGTCGGTATGTTTGCCACAATTCATGGTTACTCATACGCTCCGCTGGCCAGGGGTACCCATCGCATATTGTTGCTTACCCTTCCCGCTGTGCTCGCCTTGTTGAGTGCCTGCCGGCCAGTTACATAGCTTGAGGAGTTTAGACATGCGGAAACTGTCGTTGTCTGTTGCCGGATAAGCAGCAGTTATGGAGCTCATATGTGGTAATGCGCAGCCAGTGGTCAGTTAGCGTGGATTAAGGCAAGTGCAGATTATTTAATGAAGTCGCTCCTTACATACATTTATGTGGGCGGTTATTGGTGGTGGCTGCCGACAGGTGCACGATCGCGTGCTTATATGAAAGTGATAGCTTGCTGAGGAAGGTGTTCGTCTAACTGGCATGTGAGAAACAATTAATATCAGTTTTCTTTTTGTTTTTTTTTAATATTTTTATTAAGCTTTGTACCACGATTGTTTATTAGGAAAAATTGAAAAAGCAACAAAGTCTAAGCGGTAGAAGTTATAGCACTATTTCGGAGATCACCACATCTCCTCATCAGACTTCTTTTTTCTAGACTTCAGCAGGAAAAAGAAGTCTGATGAGGAGATGTGGTGATCTCCGAAATAGTGCTATAACTTCTACCGCTTAGACTTTGTTGCTTTTTCAATTTTTCCTAATAAACAATCGTGGTACAAAACTCAATAAAAATATTAAAAATAAAATTTTAACAATTGTGATTGA